CTTGGTGGACTTTTGCAACCTCAGTGAAATTCCTGTCCCCCTCCCACACAGCTGAACCTCCAGATTCTCCTCCACTTTGAGATAGTTTTCAATTTCAGTGATTCCATAATTTCCACTCCTGTCCTACATGGTTGAACCTTCAGGTTCTCCTCCACTTGGAGACCTTTTCCAACCTCAGTGATTCCATAATTCCCACTGCTGTCCTGCAGGGTCAAATCTTCAGGTTCTCCTCCACTTGGAGACCTTTTCCAACCTCAATAATTCCATAATTTCCACTCCTGTCCTACACTGTTAAACCTTCAGCTTCTCCTCCACTTGGAGACCTTTTCCAACCTCAGTGATTCCATAATTCCCACCACTGCTCATCCTGCATGGCTGAACCTCCAGCTTCTCCTCCACCCTCGAGGAGCTCCACAGAAGCCCAGAAGCTGAGGTTTGGCTCAGGATTTGGAATTCCCTCATCCCACAGATCCTGGCCTGGGGGCTGAGGAACCTCAAGAGCTTCCAGCTGGCCAGTGTGACCTCACCCAGTCTGCTGGTGGAGTGTGGCGGACAGCGCGTCCACTCTGGTGTCATCAAGAACGTCCGCAAGAACCCCAACTTCGACGTCTGCGTGCTCTTCATGGAAGTGGTGAGGTCCTGGTGGGGGATGGGAAGGTCCCATAAAATTGAATTTTCTTGTGAAGGACCTCGAAATCCCATAAAAATGTTTTTTTTTTTGAGGAAGACCCCAATATCTCATACAAATGTTTTTTTTGCAGAAGGACCCCAAAATCCTATAAAAATGGATCTTGTGAAAGATCTTAAAGTCCCATAAAATTTGGTCTTTTGGTGAAGGATCTGAAAATCCCATAAAAATGGATTTYATGGTGAAGAAAATTAAGATCCCATGAAAATTATCTTTTGGTCAAGGACCCCAAAGTGTCATAAAATTCTATCTTGTGTTGAAGTACCTGGAGGTCCCATAAAAGTGGATCTTTTGGAYAAGGACCTCAAAGTCCCATTAAAATGGATCTTGTAGTGAACARCCTCAAAATCACATAAAGATGGATTTTATGGTGAAGGACATTAAGATCCTTAAGATCCTATAAAAATCCTCTTGTGGTGAAGGATCTCGAAGTACCATAAAATTGGGCCGTGAGGTGAAGGACCTCAAAATCCCATCA